GATGTATGGAAGAATTGTGGTTATTGTTACATTATTTCTTATTTCCACACGGACGGAATCGCGGGACAAAGCTAAGCAACAAAAAAATTCTGACATTCTATTCATCAATAGCAATCGACAGATGTCGTTGGCATGCTTACGTTATCATTTTAATTAAATTTATGGAATAACTAAGTAATCTGATGACTGATTAGTGTAGGCTTTCACTGCAGAGGATGTAAAAACTTTTGTAAATTGTAAAATACTAGTTCGTATAATATATAGTAACTTAGGGTTCTTCAAGAAGCGAGCCTACAATTTCCTCAAAGGCCGGCAACGCATCTGTTGTTCCTCTGGTGTTGTGGAAGTCCATGGGCGTCGTTGACCACCTCGGTGTTCTCACTGCTCATTTGCCCTTTCTGTTATATAAAAAAAATATGTATATATACTAAATCAGACGTCTTAAATCAGACTCAGAGGTTATGTTTCACGTAAAAATATTTTAGTATAGTTTTATTTTAAATCTATGTAGGATAAGGGCGTTGATTTGTTTTCTTATTAATTTGATTATTTTGAAGTTTACATTTTGACGTTCTTTATAAAATAGTTTAGTTGTAGAAAAGAAGAGGAACGATCAGGAAACTATGTTTTTTTTTGGAAGAGAGTTCTTTTTATTTTAACGAGTCAGCCTTACATTTATGTGAAACTACGATCAGTGATTTTAAATTGACTTTTATCGTGGTCGACGTTTTTTTAATTTACCTGTCACTTTTTATTAAATTAAGTCTATTCATATTTCTCGTATAACTTTAACTGAGAGGTGAAATTTTGATTTTGCAGTCTGCGGAAGTTTTAACGAGTCCCATTGTTAAAGAAAAATGCAATTTAACCTCAAAATTTCCACGTTCATTATTTTGAAATCTTGAAGAAATGTAAAAGAAAACCACGAGATTGAAAGTTGATATAGAAGGCAATGTTTTCAATTTAATATTTCAATGTTGGTACTGAGTCAGAGGTTTATAAGCTTATGTTTGATTGTATTTTCCGCCATCTTTGATTTAATGTCAACACAATTGATACTTCGGAATGCGTAATGTGATAAAGGGACTTGATAGAAGTTATTTTTCTACTAGCTTTCGCCCGCGACGCCGTCCGCGTCGAGTAATAAAAAAGAAAAGTGAGTAGCCTATGTGTTCTTCCAGACTATACTCTACATCTAAACCAAGTTTCATCGAATTCAATTCAGCCGTTTGGGCTACAAACTCTAACAAACATCCATCCATCTACACTTTACACTAAGTTTGAAAAATCATTCCTTTGTATTATATAATTCTAGAAACAAGTGCTTCGACTGTGGAAACCTACATTTATGTCTCTAATTAGCCAACCTTGCACCTTGTATAAGTCTTTTCAAATGTGTTGCCGGCTCAGTAATTGGCGGAGTGGAATGCCCTTTGTTTCGTCCTGAAACTTGCATGTCCCGAGCCGGTGAAATTTTTGACAACTGTATAACTATTCAATGAAACGTGACGTCATCTCCAGACATCGTACTGCCAATCAGCAATAAAAATATGATATTTGTTCAATAAACAGAAATTTATGAGTTATATTTTATTGGTGCCGAAGTTTTATTGCAATCGTAAAGTATTTAGGTAATTCATATTTATGTATAAACTGATATTTTCTTTATATTGTTCTTTTTCGCTGTTAAGTTATTGACAATCAAGTATGAGATTTGTAAAATTGTTATTTATAACATGTTTCGATACTTGTAAACGAAGTTATCGTCAACTTAATGGACACATTGAAATGAAAGTTGAAAAGATAAAGCAAGGAGATTGTATATTAGAAAAGAGATTACTGGCCACTAAGAACATTGCCTATATTAAAAAAAATCCATGAGAGAATGTAAAAGGAGTTTCTTTTTTATTATATCACGTTTCAAAATCAAAGTTTTCGTAACGTAATCGACGGAAATTTCCCGCGAATTATAAAAGGCCTTCAATAATAAAGAAAATGTTAATAAAATCAATAGGTATTTTTAATTTCATTATTTTATTTTCCTATTCCCCGCTGTTTAATAAAACTGCTTACAAAACTAGCTTCTTTGTGTTATTGTCTAAACACAAGACACGTCTGCAGTTAAAATTGCTCGGGATCCAAAAAAACTGTTTCCGAAAGCTGATTTACGGGGCCGTATATCAAAGTCACATGAGAGATATTGTTCGCCAAATAGTTCGAGGAAAATTCTAGAAGATTTAACACTAAATAGTCCATTTATACTCTTTTACAAGCTATTTTCACCTGTCGCGATGTCTTCAAAGTTTGCAGATGAAATTAGATTTACTTCCTTATTGTAATTTTGCATACCTAAGTAAATCTGATGACAATGCAATATTATAGCATAGAGCTGATCTTACGGTGGAGATGGAAGGAATAGGAACTCAGTAAAAACGACGCTATCGCCATCGAGTTTCGGTTCACTTAATTCGAATTGAATGATTTGGTCCTTGATGGTTGGTAATTTATATTATTTTTTAAACTAATTACTGTCCAGTCTGCCCATTTGGAAGTTATTTTAGAATGTATATACGTGTTTTTTTGCTAAATCAATTCTTTATTTGATACGTAAGGTTGTTTTGCTGAAACGAAACGAAATTGTGTCTGTCATTCTGTTTTCAATTTCTGCATTTTCACATGTACTTTATCAAAGTTCACACCCACTCTGCCTTTTACTCTGCTCTCGAAAGATTTACGGCATAACAATAAAGATTTCAAACAGTTTAAGATCAAACGCCTTCTAATGTTGAAAGTAAACGATACTTAAAACCTATGCTTTTAATTGCTGCGTGGGATATCTGCTAAGATCTAAGTATACATTTCAACAACTACTCATCTTAAGAGCGAGCGTTTGACTAAACTATCGCACAACTGTTTTGTCTCACTTTGATTCTTATGAGCTTATATGGAGGTATACCACTCTGTTTTCAGTTGTGCAACTAAACAGTTGAATTGGCTGCGAAACAATCGACAATTCTTTTCTGACAGAGCCCTGGGCGGTCGCCCAACCGCGCTCAGCCAGCACTGGCAGTCTGTAATGGCTTGATTTTAGTAGTTTATAAAATATTTTTATGTAACCGCATCCTAATGGGAGTACGTAAACATTTCGTCATATCTGCTGCTCTACTGTTTACACGCGGACGCGGTTATCTCCGGTGATGTCATAACCTCAATCGTGTACAGCGTATTTATAGCTACACTAGTGTGTGATCACCTTAAGTATGTTTTAATATAGTTTTTTCTATCGAGACATATAGTTTCTTAGCTAGTTTTTATTTTTATTTTTAATCTAGTATATGTATGTAATGTGCATGCATGAGCGCACATTACTTGATTTTTAATTGTGCAACTAAACAGTTGAAGGCTGCGAAAAAACTGACAATAGCAACAGTGGTGCGATTGAGTCAAAGGGTCACTCACTCTTAGACAGTGAAATCAGATGACGGCGGAGTGTTATAATATGCCCA